AAAAATAAAAGCGTATCGCAACTAGCGTTTCTCTAACATTCAGGCTGTAAATTATCCTGTTCGAGCTGCAATTTCGAGACGCCAAGCTCAACCAAGCACTTCGACGAAGTATCCCGAAGTACGAGTTGCTTCTTGCTTCAGGTGAGTTGTTCGGTTTTGTTTTTCAGCTTTATCTTTCTTAATATAACAACCTTGATGATATTATGTTGGTGTGCTTGTTTAATGTTTATGGATGTATGCGCGTGTATATCTTTAGTCTTCAACTATTGTGGTGACCAGTTGTTACCTTATCTATGTGTTTTATTGAATTTAGGCCAAACGACCTTCTTGGATGCGATTTGCCAGTTGAGAATAAGCATGTGGTGGACAGGTCAATGGGCCTTCGTCATTTCTCCACGAAAGTATGCGAAAAGGTTAAGGAGAAGGGTCGGACTAACTATAACCAGGTTAAATTCATCCATGTTTCTGGTTCAATATTTCTTGATGGGTATAGAATATCGCCAAATCAGTGCTTCTTATGACTCCAACTGATACTGATACTTTATAGGTCGCAGATGAACTTGTGGCAGAGTACTTTGCTGCAAACAATATGAACTCTGAGGAGTTTCTTGTAAGTTTGAATGCTTTCTCGCCTTAATCACACTTGAGTCACGAAATTTCAGGAAAGGCAAAAGTTTGATCAGAAGAATATTCGCCGTCGGGTATACGATGCTCTAAACGTGCTGCTTGCCATGAATATTATATGCAAAAGGAAGAAGGTTAGACGTTGAGGAATCTCAAAAGGAGAGCGTTAACAAAAATCGACCGGGTTGTGAAGCGTCCTTATTGAAAGTATCAAGTATTTAATTAGTCTCGGCTGTCTATTGCTTAAATAACACTAAAGGTGATTCGGGATATATATCATTTGATAATGTGGTCAATATATGTTTTTCTATCCTTATGTTCCTCTAAAGCTTGTGATATCCAGAAACGGTTGTAAGAACAGCAAAGCGTTGCTTCTCTGAATTCTCGATAAAGCTTATCATTCTCCAGAGGAGTTAGGCTATTTTGAGGAACTTAATAAGTGTCTAGGGAAGGGCTGGTTTGTTTTGGAACATTTATCAACACATTTTTACTCGAAGTAGTTTAGGATATCGATTGGGTTGGTTTGCCTGCAACTAAGGCTGGGGAGATCAAGCGCTATGAGGAGGAACGGGTATATACTACAAAAATCGCATGTGCTAGCCCCTTAATTTGTAGAATCTAGGCAAAGCTTCAAGAACGCATACGACACAAAAAGGAAACAATTCAAGAACTTATCGTTCAACTAGTCGCTTACAAAAGCCTAGTGTGGAAAAATCGTGAATTGGAGAGGTAGGCGTACGTTTCCATAGTACTTTCATAATACAAAAATATGTCATTAAGCTTGAGTGAGCTTTGCCTTTGAATTTCATGCTTTTTCATGGTTCTTCTTAGTGATACATGCGCACAGCAGCTTCCGGACGAAATAAGTACTATTTTTTGCAGATAAGGATAACTACTCTATTCCATAGATTCAGGCGAATAATTCGCCGTAATTAGCAAGAATACCGCTTCTGACGTTCAGGCCATCTCGCTCACTGAGCAATCTTCCCTCAACATCACCCGTGTTCTTCGTGTTCACTAAAAGCAGGCTCTCTAGCGAAATGCGTGACCTTTTTGTGATCGAAAGTCGAAAATTTGAAATTCCGCCGCTTTCACTTATCCCCGCCAGTGCAAAAAGGGTCCGAAATCTCTTCTTGTTACAACTTTGTGGTATTGATGTTGGTATTCGGGTTCAGCACTAATTGAGTTAATATTCTGTTTAGCAAATCGAAATGTTCGGAAAAGGTGAAAAATATGTGTCGAATTGCCTTGATAGCCTTCAATATGCCGTGTGCCATGTTAAGCCTAATATTGTTGATCTGCTTAAATTACTGTAATGGAACTGATTCTTGACGTTACATACAATACCATGGAACACTCATATTCTGCATAGTTTTTTTTAGTTAAGATGAATTGTCATTTATGTATTGAAAGCTGTGTGGGAAGCCGTGTTTGCTTGATTTTGAATCTTTGAGGGACGAATTGCAAATACAAGACGTAATTCGAGGATTTTTGTCAGATCAGGAACAAATATCCAATTTACAGAGAGAGTGGTCGACCTGCAGAAAACTCAATCCTCTATTTGCCATTTGTAATCATTAACACATCCAAGAGGTAATCACTTCCGTGCCAAGTTGTTGATTTTGTAAATGTTTTCCACAATACGTAGTATCTTAGCACAACTGTTGACTGTGCGGTTTCTGGAGACAGATCGGAGTTTCTATTTCACTTTGACCAACCTTTTGAAGTTCATGATGATTTTGAGGTTTTTATATAGTTGTCATTTGTTTCTTAATTATTCAATGGTAACATGTTACATCCTCAGGCATTAAAACGACTCGGTTATTCTTACGGTCTAGAGCACAATACCTTAAATCCTGAAATGTTGGATCATATCGATGAATTTATCCCCCCAGCTCTTCGCGGATATCTACCCAAAATTTTAGGCGGTATGTTACTAGCATGATTTTTTGTTTCTTCAGTTCTAATGATCAGAAATTTCACTCCAGAATTTTGGCCCAGCTCTCAACGGGTTTGAAGTTACTATTATTACCGTTTATGGCTACTAATTTATTATTACAAATTCATTCCTTTTTTAATCAGGATTGGACTGCTTAATTGAATTTTAGGAGAGATGTCAGAC